GATGAGTCAGTGGAAAAATAGGTATTGTTGCTTTAGGTGATTCGAAATTATCAGAAATTTGTAACGTTAAAGAATCCGAGACGCCTAATTTAATTATAAATTTTATATTAGAAAGATTCGTTTAGTGTTAATTCTAGTAGGCTACGGAGTTTTGATTTTAAACGTTTATTTAGCCAACAGCTACCTAGAGATTTAGTTATTTTACAAGTGCAGTTAAAAGTACCTAAATTTGTAATCTTATTATCTAAAGTATGTTTGCATTTTAGGCTGCTACTATGATAAACCAATCCATAAACCCAAATACGATTAGCAACAACGACTATGGTGGGTTTATTGATAAATGTTAAAGGCGATTCAGATGATTTCTAAATTCAAAAGATATGAAGATATAGTGTAACGTATGTACGGGCCACGTTAACATGCAGGTTGTTGACGTATATAAAAATTTAAAAATAATGAACATGACCAGGAAAAGTAATTTTAAAGTCAAGACTGCTTATGAAACTTCAGGCAAGAATGTAACGCGTTATAAACATTCCATAAGAAGTTACTGCATTTAGCCTAGGGACACTTACAAATATATAGCAAAAGGAACCGGAAAGCATATACACGTTAAGTACAAAAAATCATTAAATAAAATAGTTGAACTCGCCTGGGTTATTTTTGAAAATTATATTATCCAGTGGACGACATATATAACGCCATTCGTTAGGAGTAGTAATGATCCAAAAGCATCCAGGATAAAACATTCAGTATGGCAATCACTTCCAGAGTCCTTGATGCTGTTGACGTTTTTGCCACTCGCTCGGATCAGAACAACCGAATGAATCCAGATAATTGTGCGGTCACCATTGAACGAGCCATCTAAAATGACCTTATGATTGCAGAAAACTTATGGCTGAAACTCACCGTATGTTTTTAGAGAAGTGTCATCCTTGTTGTTTGGCAATGGAACTCGAAAATTTGAAATTAGGCAGGCAGTGGTCGGAAGAAGAGATATTACAGGATAGTGCGTAGTTTAAAACAGGATGAGGTGTTAAGTGAAGAAACATTGAGAATTAGATCCAGGTAACTATTTAGTCCTTGCTGCATTGTTAGTCGATGTATATTTGCGTTATTTACTGGTCATGTTTGCTAGAGCTTGATGCTTAAACAAGCCTATGTCGCTGAAGCATGTAAATGCTATTAAAGCTTGTTAACGAACCATCAAAGCTAATTAGTTAATATAGACGACTAGTTTTTATTATCGAATGAGCTAGTAAGTTATGTGAACTAATAGATATAACATTACGATAATATATGTGACCATTAATCAAAGGACTATTAGAATAGTGGGTTTACAAAAATAAAATCCAATTGAGAAGGTTAAGGTGGAAATAAGGATTAACAATAATGGGTTGCGTTTCTTTAGTTGGGCTCACCAATGTAGAATTATGGTCTACTATGATATTAGTACTGCTCTAATAATAGACCTAATCCTAAAATTGTAGATTTGTCATGATATAACTGCCTAATCTATAAGATCTTACGTGGAAGTCACACCATCGACTACACCAACTCACTGTATCGTATCAATTACCAATACATGATGTAGAACAAGGTTAGGCTAGAGAAAGAACAATATATTTAATATGAATAGGAGATATAAGATAACATCCAGCAGGGACCACGCCTGCATGGCCGAGCCATGCCACTCGATCAACTCAGTCCATTCAATTCATTCTCTGCGCCTCTCCATTGTTAGGTATTTCCCCGAGTTAAATATTGAATATCTATTTTCTGAGTAGTCTCGTGTTCACAGCTTTGTGGATTGTGTGGCTATTGTCCAATGCCACTACAAGACAAGTAAATGACAGTACTGTCCAACCAAAAAGCTGCGGAGGGATTTTCATCGTTCTTTCTCCGTTTCACATATCATTGGATAGCATTCATTTTGCTCCCCTCCTTTTTTGAATGATGCTTTGATAATTCCGGTTATATGAGATTCCCATCATACAGGTGCATTTCGTGCTTCTTTGGACAGCATTAGAGCAACTCCCGTCGTGTGCGGAGCATTTCCTATTCGTGACCGGAGTATAGTAGCATCTCTCCTGTATCTAGCCTTTGTAGTCCAGCCTGTGTCCGATGGATTTCGCTGATTCCCAGTACTGCCTAATTGTATTTCCTCATTTCCGTTGCTATTTGACTGGCCTCCCTGGTCACCCACATTGTCCGGACGTTCCATGTACCTATAAACATTGTTACCTTGATTATTAGAAGTAGCATCTGCCTTGTGACTCCCGAAGGAACTCGGCTTTCCGCATGAGGCGTCATATTTCTTCCTTCGACTCCCAGGACAAAGTTTAAATGGTTCAGTTTGTTTAATGTGGTTGGCGCTTTTTCAGCGAGTTAGTTTTCTACGGGATGGAGTTGCCAACCTCATACCCAATCTTCCATCTTTTACACGGGCTTGGGACCTGCAGCAACTTAAGAAGAGCTACAGGCGGAGTTAAGTTGCAAGCAATCAAACCAAACATGTTGTTTTAATAATGATTACCACGATTTCTTCAAAAAGCCTTCAAGTTTTAGGACCCCGGAAAACTTCCCAAATATCAAAACAAAATGGTACACTGATGTAATATTAATAATTTATTGTCAAGTAAATATGTTACGCCAGACATGTCACCTTGCTGGTAAGACCAGAGTGCCACATTGCTAAGTGATTTTCTGTAATAAGTTACTCAGGTTGGTGTGTTATAAGACACACTAATCATCGAAACAGTGAAGCAGGTTTGAGTGCATAAGAAAATGAATGTCAGTCAAACCTGAATGTCCTGTCTATGAGCTGCCTCACTTTATGAAAGTCACGTTAGTGTGAACAAGTTGCGGTTAAGAATTGATGCAAGTAAGGCCCATGATAGTTTATGTCACCACGTTACATGGTAAATCCACAATCGTTCATCAAATACGTCAACTTTAACACATTACTTTGTATGTCTTGTCAGTAATACATGTGTTCCCCATAGAGAAGAATGTGAAAATAGGATACACCAAACCGACACCCTGTCGACTCTTAAACAACATGGGGAACAGTTATTTCCCTACCAATTTTAGTAGAGCGCATGCTAGCTGGAGGATCTTCGTGTCAAGAGTTCCACAAGGAACCCCTGTTGGTATGTAAAATTATAGTTTAATTAGGTATCAGGACATTTATCTTTTATTGTAATCACAGACATAACGCCAAAATTATAGATTTGTCATTATGTGACTACCTAATCTATACGATCTTATGTGGAAGTCACAGCACGGCCTATACTAACTCATCCTATCGTGACAATCAGCAACATGATGCTTGGTACTTTTGAAGAACATATCTGGGTTGGAGACAGAATAATACATTTCATGTGGAAAGGAGTGAGTCACGCGGAGTTACCAAACCTGCAAGACTGAGCCATGTCAGACTCATCAGTTGTTCCCACATTCACCATTTTCGACCTTCTCTTAGCATTACATGTTGAGTGTAAATCTCATTAATTATATGCTTTGCTTCAAAGATCGTGTGGTTAGAAACCAGTGCCACCACAGGTATACTCCTTCCCGTGTTCATTATGAATGACCTTCCCGATAAAATTAGCTAAGCGACACCAAACTGTGCATGCAACGTGGTTTTATGAGTGTCCGCAAAAGGTGCGAAGGATTCATTTGATCTCAAAAAGGGTCTTACACCTGAAGAAACGGGCAGTAGATGATGGGTTACAACTAAACCTCCGGCCATTTTGCGACCATTCTGCTTCATGGGAAACAAACAACTTACGTCTCACATGGAGAACCACTGTCACTTGTTTCCTTGGAGAGCGATCTTGGGCTAGCATCTGAAAAGACCATGAACACCCTCTAAAACTATGTTGAGGGTGCAACCAAGGCAACTCCACTCTTGATGTAAAAACAACTTATAGCCCTTACTATACACTCTATCAAAACATCACTATCACGCTACTTTGGAAAACTCCTGAAAGTGCATGTCAAGGATTAAAATCTCAGGTAACCTCCCACTTTTGCTGATTGAGACTTACCTCCATCTGGAATGCCCCCCCAGCTAGAGTGGTCACAGACCACTTGGCTGATAGCTTCGAGAGAAGACTTGATAAACACGTACCTGCCTATGGAATGCCATCCCCCCTGTACCAGATATACCTGATGGTTGTCTCGTAACTTACCTGCTAGTATTATCAACAGATATCAGTAACCTACTCTTATTTTGCTTCTTAGCACCTACGTCAGCCTGCTATTTATACTCTTCTATACAATCACAGCGTTTGATTAACAAATTAACTGACTTATTGAGAAAATTATCTTCTCGTATCTCTTCTTCATTCGAACTGAGTTTTCGTTATTTCGCGCATTGCAAATAACCAAGCTTCTTCCCAGAATTGTGATAACTGTTGGAACCAAGAAACCTTATAGTCGTAAGACAAACGCACTCACTCAAACTACAGGCTATAGGAATCCACAAACAATTAACAAACGAATTAGAATTAGTTAGGTCGAATAGCTATATTATAAACGACTAGACATTACCGAATACATGTAACCGCACCGAAACAACATGAAGTGAACGCGAAGAAATCAGTCGGTCTACCCAAGTTAGTGACAGATATTTTATATTGAAACCCATTATCACTGAAATTATCGTATAAAAGAGGCTAGAAAAAACTTTGTTAGACTATACGATAAGCCTGGAACTGCTACTGGGACACCGAAAAATAGAAGGAAAGTGGTCAATTGATTCATATTGCTTGGTCGCAAAATGCTGGTCATACAGAGCATAACATATTATTGTGCCGTAAATCTTTAACGTGAGCGTTAGTGTTACGTGACCAATTAAAACGGGCTTAGTCTTGTTACTTGTTACATGGTTTATGTTTATCAATATGGATAGTTATTACTAACAGTGAAACTATAATTTATGGACGAACCGATGAGATTTGCGATACCAAGCCTTGGATTTTTGCGCGAGGTTCATTTATCAATGTCATGCGCACAAGTTGACGATGGCGGTGTTTAGTATTGACCACATGCGCGTTTAGTCATCTTACGGATTGTTTACACATAAATATAATGGCTAAACACAATCATTTAAGTTTTTGCAACAGGTAACTACAAAAGAAGGTCACGCAGTACCTCAAATCCTTAGTAATCTTGAAGATAGTTCGTATTACTTTACACTACAAATCTCGCTAGTAGTCATCCGGATATATTGTCATAGGGAAGTAAAATACATGTATGATGTAGTGTTTTCGCGAGGTTTGTAGACTGGTGTACTATTTTTCTTAATCACTAATCATTTGTTGTTTGACTAGTTTTACGATACAGGTGGTTATTTACTTTCACGACAGTATGAACCTCTGCAGATGTAGGTAGCTATCAATCAGAGTATATGCTTAATATTTTCTGAGATTGCTTTATGCACAGTGGATTATTTATTCTTGGATCGTGTTCTCTGATCTTATTCACTTCCCTTTATATCACCTCTACCAATTTTATATTCATCTTAGTGATTTTGTGTCGCTGTTCTTATATGATGAAGTAACAGGCTGATGCACACGTGATAGCCCAATCTACACATTTTGAGGAAGACACTTTAAAGAAATTTCGGGAAAACAGCACAAAATCCCCAAATTTTGATGAAAACTGCCGATTGTCATTTTACTTTGGGGGAAACCCCAGAATCGGGAGGTTGGGAGGTTTTCACGTTAATGATGACTGACCGAACCTAACGTTCTTGATCCTCATTTCACCCTTAATTCTCGATCAATACATATTATTTATGATATATGTAGAAAAGCTCATCAAAGTAATTTTTGTAAGTTTCACGTGAGATCTCAAAGAAAAGCTATTATCAAGATTGAGAACTCCTGAATCAGCGGTGTACGTCTTTCGGTGAGACTATGATTTATGGACGATCCTTGAGCGTCTCTAGAAAGACCTTGATAACGTTCATCTACATTGGCTAACTGCGGGTTATAAACCAGTGTGAGGAGTTAGGATCAATATTTACAGTTGGTAGTTAGGGCTAGGAATTCGATTTAGGGCTTTCATCACGAAGTGACATCAGGCATAATACCAAAACTCAAGACCTTTTATCATAAATCTGATTGGTTCATCCATAAATTGTAGTCTCGCCAATATTTGAAAGATGTGTAGGAGAATACTCGAACTCAAGATTAAGAGGTAGATAATAAGTGAGTACATTTGTGCCATTATGTTATTGTATTGCTCAGTTTCCCAAGTTTTTCAAGTGAACTCTGTTAATACAAAATCATTTTGTAGTGATGTCACACTTATTGTTTTCTCCTGCTTCGGTCTGGGCACCCGGGCAGTGTCACATTCTTCACATAAATCAGTGATAACTACTGTCCCGATTGTTTTTGTGTGGCGCATATGTATATAGTGCCCCTCGTACCAACGTTTTTGTGTTCAAATCAGTAAATAAATAAGTATTGCTAACTACAGCGGGTTAAAATATTTTGACCCATAGCTCTTTTAGCCATTTTTCAAGGTTTCACTTAATGTATTCATTTAACCAACTATAATAAATGGTATTTTTTATAACGATCCTGACCAATTACCATTTAATTTCAAAAGATTCGCCAATAAGTCCAACCCAATATATTTTTCGAGGTAGCTCACTTTAAAGTATTCAGCACGAAAACAATTCAGCTAGCGTCTTCACCGATTCGTTATACAACAAATGTGCCAGTGATGATAGCACTCTATTCTCATCGTCTTGTCTATTTATTGCTCGGACGAAGTTTGAACACGGCATCTACTTTGATTCAACCTCATATAACAGCTAAGCATCGTGGAGTAAGTGAATAATACTTAATTCATAGTCTTTAGATAATTGAGTCATGCTGCACCATCGAAGTTACGACCGATCGACTAAGCTATGCGTCTTTGTGCTTGGATCCTGAAAATAAAAATTCAGTTATTCTTTCCAGCTGGAACAGCCTTTCGCTCAATTTGCCTTCTGGAAAGGAATTCAGACCGTACATGTGTTCCTCCATGGTAGTTAAAGGTTTTCTCCTGTTTAAGTAAACTGGTTTTTAGTCCCTGGATATTGATAATATGTAAACTTCTCAAAAACCTGATTCTTGAAATTATTTTCTGGAAATAATGTTACGAATTTTCAGTAGTAAAATTTGGTGTATTTAAGTTTGTAGTTATCTAGGTGAAATCTAATGTAACAGAACTGTACTTGTTCTGTTTACCACGAAAACACCACAGTTTCTGTCACATTCATTAAGAAACCTTCATGATTTCGATCTATATTCTGTTTACATTTATGTTAATTGGTCATTATTAGTTCCGAATTACTTATGAATTTTTCCTGCTATTGGTTGCGTGCATATTCTTGCACTGTTCTTATTGAGAGCCAAGTATAAGGCGCATAGATCAGAAAGACCAAACTATACTATCTTGAATAATTTTAGTTCTAAATAATGGTTACTGTATAAGAACAAACCGTGGGTATGACATGTCTAAAAGTAGACACAATCTTGAAGAGCCACTAACTCCATTCGGAATTTAGATGTGTTTAGGATTTGCCTTGAAGTTCTCATAAAACGTATCCAGAAAATTGATTATTCTGCTTAATGACTTTGTACTAAACGATTTGCTCTGTTTAGGAACTGGGAAATGAAATTTGGTTCGGCTAGTAATTTTCAAACACTTTTAATAGATCTTTATTACTTAGAAGAATCAGGGTCAATAATTTACTTTAGACGTTATGGTAAAGTGTGGTAAAACAATTCATCAAAGCGTATTTCTTAAAAAATGTTCGTTTATTCTAGAATCTAACCAAGTTATGTCTGTTATATGCACAATGACTATAATAATGGACTCCTCAAACCAAATTAAATACAACAGAGTGTTACCTATAACTAAATAGTTAAGTTCATTGGTTAGATTAGTGATTTAAAGCCCCAAGTATGAATTATTTTTACAAAAGCACTAGTAGCTGGGGTTTATTTCCACTACATATTATCCTCTACTTAATTTAACCGAATACTTCGTATCTACAACAATATTGATATGCCAATCTGTCTCTGTAAGTAAATGTGTAAATGCTAGTACAACTTTCTAGATAATGAAATGTTCGCAATCAAATAGTGTAACCAATAAACTGACAGCATTAACAATTTCTAATTATTATACTTATCAGTGATTTATCATTTTGTTTTTACCACAAATAAGCTCTAATTTGTATAATCTTAAGTTTTACTCGAGGTCGTCAAAATCACTCCTCACCCAGTTTCCTTTATATTTACTTCAAGAAGAAGTATCCCCTCAGAGTATTAGCAACTGGTAAGTGATAACCACCCTGATATCTTTAAAAGCACTAGAGGTCACTTCGTTCAAAACGTAAAGTAGATAATAAAACTTAATAATCACCACATATGCTGTCTAGTGTTTATATTGTTTCGTCGTTCTTATGTGGATACAAAATTAGAAATTCGTTTAGAAACCCGGTATTCAAATATTTGTAATTCTAAATAAATACTTCATCCATCATCTAGGTGTCTTAATTTTGTTCTCTTAATGTAATTACTTAAATCGAACAGCAACCAAGCTATCATCGATTAGTAGACACATGCTGAAAACTAGCTGTAAATTCTAGTCAAATTAGTGATGCAACTATTTCAAGGTATTAAATCAACAAAGTATGTATAAGGGAGGGAGATCGGTTGTTGACTAAATGAAAATTATTCATTATATCAGTACAGCCACCTATCAGTTATCAATAGTAATTGTTATAATTTCTCTTATTACGACCCAGCTACTATTGCTTGGTATTCTTAGATACTCACTCGACAAGTCCCCAAATCAGAAAACGGTTTAACACGAACGTAATTATTATTCTAAATAACAAGAGTAGATGGAAGTAGGAATATATTTATAGTTTTTGAATGAGAAGATTCTAGAGTCTTCTCCAAGTATCTGCTAGCGCTGATTAGATAAAAAAATAGTCAATTAGTGTGCCCCAACATAATCTTGCATGGAATATGCTTTAATCCAATCCATATTCCGCTAACAGAAATACAAATCGACGGTCAACTAAGTTTCCTTATTAAGCTTTCAGTCGCACTTATTGTTCGTAAGCTAAGTTAGATTATTTGTCCACGCAAGTTAACTCAGATGGACCGGTATTTGAAATTACGACTCATGTCGAGCCACAGCTTTATATACATTCACATTCTTTTTAAATTAAAAATCTAACCTTTGAAGATTATTTTGTATGGAATCGTGTTTCTGAAAATATTAAGGTTTACTCTCAAGTGGAATGGAAAAGGTGATAACTTAGTAACTTAACTCACCGAGTAAAGGTTTATGCACTTAATTTCCAGTCATAGTTTAGTTGGATGACTGCTAAGTGCATTGAAGACGATGGAGCGGAGTTAGAACATGCGGTCTATTTGTTGAAAGCATATTTTAATCTGACATTCTTTTAAGATATAATACTAGTTTACTAAACATGTTGAGTATGTAGATAAGTTGGGTATAGCTGGACATCTTTCGGTTTTAATTCATGCTATGCTTCAAGTAGTGGTTATTACCATTGTTTATATTACTAACAGTATTATACAACAAATAATGATACTTAGCATGCACTTATAGGTTTTTGTACTAGTCTGTAAGTCACATGTATTTACTACGTAACATTTATTCACACATCAAAGCTACTGAAACTTTGGTTGATAAAATATGGTATAGACCAGTGACTCAGTGGTTGAAAATACTTTTTTAGGTGATTAATGACAGCTCTATATTTTAAGTAAATAAAGCATCTCTTTGTAACCTGAGTAGAATTAAAAATTTTTATATTCTCTTCTGTGAGTTTCCTGTTGCATTAGAATTACTTATTTTCAAATTTTCTACCATATAGTTCAAAGCTACCACTCAACGTTTGGTACATGATATTTGCTCATCTGGAAAATTGACCAGTAGTCAATTCGCCTTAGTGTATGTGTCTTCTAAATTATCTTCAGCCTCATTGGTACGTGCGGGTTTTATGGGCTACCTCATCGGATATTTGTGTACAGAGTCCATTAAACAAGAATTTTTACCCCCATCCTACCTTCCCGTTTTCACCATGAATCATTCTTATCGGAAACATATTCTCTCATCATGGAGATCTAAGTTTGTGAGCCGTAATCCAGAATGTATAATTCGTGGTATTGAAGATCTGTTTACCACACTACCTAAGCTCTCGTTTGCTGACAGCAACTCTATAGCCACTTATACGAATATTTTTCTCAATACAGATGGCAATCTATCAAATTCCAGTGTACGTATTCCTAATGAGAATCAAAATATTAGCTACAATCAACTTAGTCTTGCTAATGTTCTTGTAGACGGATATGGTTTCCTTGTCCATGGAATAATGGGTAATAAATTCACATCTTTAGAACTCCTCCAACCTTCATATTCATCTTAGTGATAAATGAAAAGGTAAATAATCTTTTAAGCAATCTTTTCAAAAATAACTTCTGATATGAACTATAGCTGGTCACTTTCTAGTTTTCGATATAGAATCGTGCCATGCTGATTAGTGCTTTTATTCACAACAATGTATTAAGCGGAAATACCTAGCAGAGTTTTCTTTTACAAAATAATTTCAACGACCACTTACTGCAAAAAATTAATTAAAGTACTAAAGAATTAACCTGTTCTACAGAGTCCACCTATTGAATCTCTCGCTCTTTTTTCCATATTCTCCATTCTCTGGATACTTGTAGATTAAATTGCATTGACGAATAAACTAATTAAATATTAAGCTTATTAGAATACCGTGGATTGAAAGATTTAAGCAATTGTAAGGCAACTAGTATGTTGGGCACCTCGGTTTCTCAGATTAGTAAGTAACCTATAAACCCAATATCCTATGACTATTTATGTTTAGTCTGTATGATTTGACATCTAATACACTGGTTTAATGATAGGTACGTTGAGACAACCACGAAGAAGCTCTGGATTTGAATGGTGCAGTTTCGAATCCCATAAGGAGTATAATTAGTCCCCTCAAGATTGCTGACTCGATTTTTTGTTGGAAGTCGATCAATATAAATTTAAAGCTTTTTATCGATTGCTTTTAATTACTTAACTTCAATAACCATTGGATGATTAAGCACCTGATAGTGTCTCACTTCATTACCTTTCATTTACTATCATCTCTCTTGCTCGTTTATTTACTTTTTAGGCATATAATTGTTCTAATATAATTAAAGACAACATTCTATGTAGTAACTATCTTGGAGCAAGTACTGATGTTATTCTCCGGCCTATCGCACCATTGTCAACTTCTTCATGTACTACAATCCATAGCTTAGATATTCGTAATGTTCATCAAGCTGTAATCATGGGTTATCTTCTAGCATTTTTATCATCCAATATTAACAATACACCAACAAGTCAATTATCCATATCAACTAATTGTCCATCAATAGAAACTTTAGTAAAATGGACTAATCAATCAACTAATCGTTGGACAACTTATTTAAGTCATCAAATGTTTAAAAATCAATCCAATATTACGTTCTCTTTTCTTCCTGTGAAATCTAATCATTTAACAAATATATCAGCCCCAATAAAAACTATACATAATAATAATAATAATAATGATTCGTCAGATATCATTCAAATACGTGTAGAATCTTCACAATTGTTTTCAATTTATAAATGTTTCAATTCTAAAAATCACGAACATATTAGTACTGTACAGTTTTTACTGGCTCGATGTTTGTTTACATGCATGTATCATCTGTTAAAGGACAGGTATTCGATGATGGTTTAAAGTCATTACTATTACTTTTTGTATTTATTATTACCCATTTTCTGTATAAGATAGAGTTTTCCTTTATGACAAATATGTATTTAGAAAAATGTGCTTACATTTCGCTTTCTTTATTGTGAAACGAAATTGTAATTGATTATTCTTATTGGATGTTTTACACCGATCAACTGGTTGGTAAACAGTCCTGAACTAATCACGTGACTATTTGTTCGTAAGGTATGATACATCGGATGGTTTTGATCGGTTAGATAGTGACTGACCTACAAACTGACTTCTATTATGATGCCTAAATATGTTTATTTTTTCTTTAGTATTTTATACATAAGCTTGTTATTGTACATCAGAAAAATGTATTCTGAAGGGTGATCTTTTTTGATCTTGAAACATTTAGGCTATTATGTCAGTGATTCGGTCTCATAAGTAGTCATTATCCGACTACATCGTATCATTGCACATCAGCATTGTTTTTCGTTTTGACAACTGAAGAATCGTTCATAAATGCTACTTTATAGTAGACCAATTGGAAAGAAAATGCTAAAAGTATTTTATACACAAGCTTTGATTTTGTAGTGTTTAAGGTTTGAAACAGCTAATATCTTTGAGTCATACTTCCATTTCTCTAACTATCTCTGGATGCGTTTTCTTAGATATACTTTAGCTGAGACTGTGTGTCAATGTAGGATACTAGTACGCATTCACGTTATTCTCTAATGAGCCGGTGGTAAAGGTTTCAGCTGTACGTATGAGGACATAGTAGAAAATCCCAATAGAAATCTTGAAAAGATTCAAGTCCATAGTAATATATGTAATTGCTTTCAGTACGTGAACATACATTTTTGGCATATATCTATCAAAAAAGAAATAAAAACATCAGTGGGATTGTAGTGTCCTGGAAAGATCAAAAAGTTATTCATGGCTCTGGTATATGGATACTACGAGTTCACCTGGGGAGTTGGGAAATCTTGATTTTTCAAACCAGTGATCCAAATAGACTAAAAACTTAGGGGAATGAATAACTACCATGCACTTAGGTCTTTTGACATCGCTTCACTACCCTATGGTTTAAACTTTTGCCTTAAAGACTGAGTAATGCATACCTCAGTATGGGCCTAAATCTTCGAGTCCTTAGAAAGTTAAACGATATTCTTTTCATATTTTCGATGTTCTGACAAAGTAGATTACTTTGTTACGCTTAGACTTTTAAAGTGTCTGGTAGTATATCAAGATATTTGCAAACCTCTTAACAAAACAATTTAATATAGATATCTATATATCTAGTCGTGATGTCATGGTAAAACAGTCTTCAAAATGAACAAAGCATTCACATTCCTTAAACGGCTAAAAACTCAAAAAACAACTTGACATGAAGTGGCAAAGAAAATGGGAATGTAGAATTTGGGTAGTTCTAAAACCCTGACCTGTGAAGTTCAGTCATGCTGAGTGTGAGGTAGTTATCCACCAATAGCACCACAAGTTGATTGGAATTACGAAAGTAAACCGCTGGATGCCAACTCAATAGCCTAAAAGACTGCTCAGGGCCTGAATGCCTTAGCTTCAATCCGTGGGGCTGTCTTGGATGCGTACTGATGAGAAATTCCATGCTCAAATGAGACAACTATCTAGTGCTTTCTACTTATCAGTGGTTAAAGTCAGTTCGTAATAATAATAAGCTATGAATAACAAATAAATAGCGAGTACATTTTATCATTCGTTCTCGCGAGGTTAATGATACTGCCTGATTGGCACTACCAACGGCCACCATGATATCCGGGTTCACAGAGTCTCTCTGACGTCTTTTGAACAAATAAACCTCATCTCAATGGCCTCTTTGAGGCCTTGATCGGCAACATTTTCTAACTGATTGGTCATCAATATGTTATTTGTCTAATACTTAGTATTAACCTTATTCTGTCAACCAGTTTTCTAAGTATGACCATCAGTCTACGTGACTTGATATCTTGTGTACAGTGTTTTGATATTACATGATTGAAGATAGTTGGGAGGAAAGTCAGGTTAAGATACTCCTGCCAATTGACTCCAGCCATTTGACATAAATCAATTATATATGTTATTATCAAGTTCCAAATCAGAAGTCCTAACTTATATAGGTCACATATATCACGTGTTAGATTTCTGTTTTTCTCCGGACAACTTTCATAGTCTTATTATACACCAGTCATTATCTTACATTAAGATGCCTGTGTTGATTAAACCGGTTCAACTAATATCTTACTTATATTAGCAGAAACCAAACTAATTTAACCTCTCTATCTAAAGTCATAACGTTCAATCCCCAATACAAGTAAGCAATATTACAAAAGAATTTACAATTATAGCTACAGTGACTATAAATTATAAATAGCAAAATATGTGGACAGTATTATTATTACCATTATTTCCATCAAATAAAGTAATAATATCCTTCAGTGTTACAATGTAATTCAACTTGGTGAATAATTCCTCAAATTGATAAGAATAAAGATCAAAGCATTACAGAAATATTTCTTATTACTTTATTTATAAAAAGACATAATTTAAATGTTAATTTTAATGGTCAATTGTTTAACATTAAACCAAATATTCATGTTTCAAAGAGAAATTCTTTTCTTAGTTATATTTAAATATTCTGTCATTATATAATCGGTTAGTTATAAATGAAAACAATGGAATGTTGTAAAAGTTGATCCTTTCTCAAATTAGACCATGTAACAGCTTTTTATTAATGGTGGCAACAGGTAGGAGATTAAATTAAGAAGAAATACTTGCACTGAAATGTGGACACATTCTTTTTTTTCTCCCTGAAATATTGAATTACTAAAACTGCATACCATCCAAGTTTCTCTCAAATTCCTTTTTATATAATAAATACGTTTATAAATAGATAAGTATTTATAAGTATATTAGAAGACAAAGTGGGTATAATAATAGTCAACAAATTGACCAATAATTCTATGTGTATTAAAAAAAAACAGTTCCATTCACTATTGGGGAAATTATTTTTTTATTAGTCATTAAATAGAGTACCAATTTGTATACTGCCCAAAAGAAACCCATGTGTATCTCATCTTTAGATAGATATTTGTTGATAATGTTAAGAATGTATTTGTTTTTCAATTCTAATTCCTATTTATTTGTACTATGACATATGGAAAAAGGAATTTTAAGTAAGAAAATAAACGAACTAAAACAACATTTATCTAATGAAGTGAATTTAATCACTAACCATCGTTTAAAAATGATCTACTTTGTTGCATTAATGATTGTAACTACGAGGAGTATCGAAATATGCACTTTGAGTATACATTATTGTATATGAAGAGATTAATTGGGAATGAGAAGATAAATTACCTTATGATCAATAAATACCAATATTAGTTTGATTCTAAATTTGAAACGACACTAGAGCAACCCATCAGATTTAAAATATAAAAAAAATGACTGGTTCTGATACAGTCAGTCGTTGAAAATAGTTCATCCAACTATAGACAATAAAAAATACCTGCCAAACATGTGAATTAACTCAATCTCAGGCAGCTTCTGAGCACAAAGAGACCAAATGTTCTCTATGAATACCATAATAGTAGTACCACTTGTAGTAAAAAAGATCATGGATAAGAAATATGAGTCAGGGAAAGTTAATTGGCATAATAAGAGGTATAAAATAATCTAGAAACTCAAAATATGAGGAAAGACAAAATGAATGTGTTCATACCATTCCGACCAATTTAAAAAAGCTGGTTACGGTAATAACAGTAACGCCAACCTAGTGACGATTTCATGTACTGAAGTCATGTTTTAGTTTGACATGCTCACCCCACTGCAAAAGCAAGTGGTTAACTGAACTCAGTAACTAAGTGAATAATGTGATGACGTTTGAAGTGAACGGTACTCGGTTCGCGTCTCGGAGAGGACATCAACTCTTGGATGAAAGTATATTCAGCTGACAAGCCACAAGCAGTCCTAGGTCCTACTGTTTGCCACAATCCGTCTTAAAGTAATTATTTTAATAATAACTAATTATATAATGAAGCCACCAATTTTTGTTAAAAGAACATCAAGAGTAATTGTTAATACGTAAAATATAAATAAAATAATATATAATAGGTAATGTTACACCATTAGAATCATTTTAATATTGCGATCGGATATTCGCCACACTTTCTTCCTATGTACAAAGTTCAGGTTAAAATTGTTCAATAACAGTTCCTTTCACAAAGGTTAGTAGAGTCAGCATCCGTTGCTTGCTAGCTATTATAAACGCATTTTTCGTATCAACCTTAAATTAACTACCCGTTAAGTGTCTAGTTATTGAGCTTGTGAACACTTGAGTTTTTAAAAAATGAAAAATAGGTTTAGACAAACATGTCTAGAAAACCTTATAGATCCCCTTTCTCTTAATTATTTCTATGTACTTGCCACCACACGTGCATGCGAATTCAGAAATGTTATTGGAGGTAAACTTGAAAGGGTATTGACTCACTTTTCATTGGCTTAAAATGTATTTGATATCAATAAAATAAAACAACTTAGGCCTTAGGGATGTTACTTTTCCATCAATTCTAACTACAATCTCATCTCCTTTGAATTCAAGGCGGATGAGAACGAGTTGTCTGATGACAGTTAAGTGATTGGGACTTTCAGTAAACGTTTTTTTTTCAGACTTCATAATAAACTTTCTTAATTATACTAAAAACATTTAGTGAACTTAAATACGAAAAACAGTGTTTATATCATCAAGGAGTTAGTTAAATATTGCTCGGATCACAAGCTAAAATATTACTGAACCAAATGATAGTTGTATAACATAATGTCAATAGTTATAATTGGAGTAAAGATTATTAAAAATCTCAGTCTACTATAGCATTAATAGATTGACAGCTGTTTCTTTCTGAATACATGAGTTTAGTCCGAATATTTTTAGTGGCAACTACTTTAGCAAGGTATAAAAAATAGTGTTCTTTCGTCTGTTAATTAAATAATCATTTTCTACTTTATCTAAATACAAGTAGCATATACGGGATAAGCTGTGGCTGATTAAGCCATTAATATACTCTCCATTTATTCAAAAATCGCAAACTTGGAGAACAAATTATCTTTTTTCTTATTAATCAACACATGTTGACGCTAATGATATCTCTTATAATTGAAATTCTATAGTTTTCGTACTATCACTTTTACTAGCGATACTATATAATAAACAGTAGGTTGGAAAAAGTTATTCTAAGTAAAAACATACTCATTACTGGTTGAATGTATAATGTTATCGCCAGTTCCTTAAATAAAATAGTTTGGAAGATGTCAAATGATTATTTTGTATAGAAAAAGGTAATTTCTATCAATTACTAACAAGCTGGAAATCTAGGACT